GGGGGGGGGGGGACACACTTAAATTTGATGGTGATCTTGGATTCAAGTAAATTCAGCATATTACTGTTCAAATGAACACATTATGCTTAAAGGCACCATACTTAGCAGAATATGTAGCCCGCTAAACCTACGCAAAAGCTCCCACTGACATCAAATGCAGAGCCAGAATTCTGCCTTTCATATTTAAGGGATACGTTTTGTAATACTAAGCCCTAAAAAAAAAATACCTTAAGTGCTTGCAGTCTAGCTTGTTCCTCCTCCAGTGCTTGCTGTTTCTCTCTCTCATCCATTCGGCTAAATGACATTCCTGTGTTGGCAAGTGTGGAAACAGCACTGGACAGGGTACTTGCTCTAAAATGAAAAGTTACAGGAAGACACTTGATTAAGAAAAGTCTTTTGCATTCAAAAAAGTCATGAAAAGTGCTTCTACACAACAAGTATGCTACCTGTCACTTGCACCACTACCTCACCCTTGGATGAGAAAATACAGCAGCTGCCCTGAACTAGCATCACCAGACATTTTGTTAGGGCGGGGACAAATGCAGACTGAATTCACTTGTGGTTCCAGTTAAGTGGATATGAGAATATGGATGATGAAATAATTGTGCCAGATGCGGGCAATTGTAAATGCATAATCTGACAAACCAGCAAAATACCATAGGCATGATTAAAACAGCCAATCACTTTGCTACTGCAGTTTGATATTACAAATATGTAATTTAACAAGGAGTTTGGTGACATACTGAAGACATGCAACTGTCAACAGATGAGGAGCAATTAATGCACAATCAACTGATATTCCCTTATTAACAGGGAAAAACAATTATTTAGCTTTTATAGTTTTTCACTTTTACTGAAAAAGAACACAAATACAGTCTCTTAAAAGGAAGTGGAAGAAAACAAGCAGACTAGTTCAAAGAACATCCTCCCCTTCCCTGCCCAGATTTATGGTCCATTTGCTGCTTACCTGCTGGCAGCTGAAACTTCTTTTGTTTTCTTCCCTTCCAAAGAAGCCAAATGTTGCTCCAATGCTTCAAGCAAACTGCTGGGTGCCTAAAGTCAAAATTCTCATAAAACATCTGCTTGATGACAATGCATTACCATCCTTTTGTACAGAGACTAATTTTTCCCATTAACCAACTAAAAAAACTTACGCATTTACTTTTGAAAGGTTGTGTTCAACTTGAATTTTGTTTACAAGATTCACTTTGTGATGACACCCCCTGTAAATCAATGCATACAACATGGTTCTCCACAATGTTTTATTGGGGGGCGGAAAAAAACAAAACCAAAGCCTCTCAGCCTGAGAAGAGCAGAAGTTACTAAAATGCTTAGCACAGCAATGCCATTGCCAAAAAAATAATTAGCACCCCTAAGCACTGTGGGTGTGCTTACATGAAGTGTTACTTTTTTTTATTTTTATTTTTTTTTTTACCTACAGCAGGACTCTTACAACTCAAAACCCACAGGGTAAGCAAATCTGTATCAGTACAACACAAAACTAGCTTTAAGAAAGAGAAATTTGATCTGTACAGCTAGTTTACCACCTCACTATCACAGAATACTGTCACACATTTATCACTGATCAAATTATCTAATTGATTTGGTTAATCTAAAGGATCCTGGTTTATTCCCAATCTTCAGTAGGCCTCTCCAATATTTTTAGATGCTGGATTAGATGACCCTTGAGGTCTTTTCTAACTTTATGATTTAGCTGCAGTATACTGGAGATGCCCTCCTCTTTTCTCTGACCAGTAACTAAACACCACCTTGAAAACAAAAAATCATTTAAAGATTTAAAGGTGGATGATGTCATTTTGATTAAGACCATCCTTAACACTGCCCTTTTTTAAGGGTACTCTCAGGATTGTGCTATCCCTAGCAAAAAGCTAAATATCATTTTGATATATTAGACACTTTTTAAAGCCTAAAAGAGTTGAACAGACATCAGTAAATGGAAGCCATAATCTCACTGTAAAGTGCTAAAGACTGAGTGAATGAGACATCTGAACTACTGAGCAACAGTTGAACAGAAGCAAGCATAAAATAAACCATGCCAAAACCCAGCATTGACTCAGGGCCAGATCTAAAAAGTAATTAGGCACTTTGGGAGTTCAGTGCCTAAGTACTGGGCACTAAAAGCCAGATCCAAAACGCAGTAAGATGCACAGACAGCTACCGACTAGAGGACCTGCCAATAAAAAGGTACATTTTTGAAAGTTAAATCAACTGAACCTCCCTTCAGTATCCACGCTAAAAGACCAAACGTGCCAATATTATTCGAGATGGTCCTGTTTGTAGCCTAGGTGGAGCGTAGCCATTTCCAACTCCTCCTTCAAAAAAGAAACTTGCCTGGAAGAAGAGTTGCCTGTTTGGTTTGAAGGAGAACTCAGTATCCATCTCTGTGACATGACATTCCTAGTCCCCTATCAATGTAGCCATGGTGTCATTAACTGACAGGATTAAGTCACATATAAGAAAAGAATAAGACTCCTTCCCACAAATAAAACACCAGATCCCAGAAACAGGAACACCACGATTGATTCCAAATGCCTATCTTGGTCTTGAGACCTAATAATTTCCAGGCACTTCAGCACCTTCCAAGAAAGTATACAGCAATATTTTGCTGGGGACACTATATAAATCCAGACGCTTGTTTTTTAAAGTAGAGGGAAGGATTTCCACTACTGCTCCATTTAGACCAGGCAGAGTGCTAACCCAGGTATTTCCAGGATAGACAGTGAAAGAAATACCATGCTACCGTACAGGGTGCTGGAGACCTCACCAGGACTACTGTGTACAACTCTAGTTGCTCACAGTGAAGAAAGATTAACTCGAACTCAAAGAGAGAAAGGCGACTAGAACCCGTCTGGGAAAAGACTGCAGATTGTTCAGTGTAGCGCAACAAAGGCTGGGAGGGAATAACGATTACCATCAATTGATTTAAATAGAACAAACGTAAGGGGGAGATGATAGTCATGTAAGCTAAACAAAGCTGGTATAAGAACAAATGGATATCAACTTGCCATAAATAAGTTTTGGCTGGAAAGCTTAGAAGGACATTTTTAACTAATCAGAGGAATTACATTTTGGAATGACCTTACTTCTAAGTGTTTATGATGATGCTCAAACAATTTATGCAGTAGTTTCTTGCATTAGCAGGGGCCTGGACAGAATGATTCCAGGAGGTTCTTTCCACTGCTATGTTCCATTTCAAGAAATCCAAGTTTCTAAAATGGTTTTAATATTCTCTCAATCACAGAAAGCATGTTCTGGCCATATTGACTGTGAAAGTTTTAATGTTAGTTTTATCAAGGGAGTAAGCTTGAACAGAAACACAGTTCATCCTGGTTCAAACTCTTTTGAAAAGAGGACTTGCCGAAGAGCTGTTGAGGTTAACCGATTCATTCTGACAAGTGAGACCATAACAAGGTCAAGGTCATCTCTCATCACATAGTTTAACTGGCTTATCTAATATAGATTACAAGGTAGTGTTAGCCAGGCTATTTTATTTATGTTATGAAGTGTAAACCAAGTACCCATTTGTTCATTGTTACCAGGGCACATGTAACAGAATCAAACCAAAATAGCAGCAGCTGGTTCACCACTGGAATAACTAAGGGTTCACGTGGCCAACCGGCTTCAGAAGCAGAAGAGGCATTGGCAACCTGTGTGTGGCACCTGATGAATCAGGTAGGCAGCACAACAGCACTTAGGGCAGGAAGCAGAAGGTAGAGTAGGAGATTAGGTACAGAGCACAAAGCAGGGAGCCCAAATATAACAAAGTGCCCCTTCAGAAGATTTTGACAAAACCTAGAGAATGCATCTCTTAGAGCAAGAAAGAAGAAGAATATGGTCAAACATCAAAACAAACCAGTGTTTTTGATACTTTGGGTCATCTTTAAAAATGGGGGAAAAAAAAAGAGGTTCAGCAGGATGTAAAGAGATTACAGGCCAAATATTCAGCTCAGCCTAACTAGGTCTCAACCATTACTGAAGCATAGTATTAAACAGAAGTCCTTGATTTGGGTGCACTATTAGATTTAAGTGACTTATATTTGGTTGACAAAAATTCAGATAATACACAAAAAATACTGCATACAAAAATATACAGGAGGGAGTGAGAAATTATTAGTATTTAAATTAGTTACATACAAGAAGACTTTAAAAAAGCTTCCAAGTTACTTTGTTAATTGAGCAAGTGATAGCAAGCAAAACTAAAAAAACCCAGAAAGTGCAAGGTAGCACACATGGCAAAGTATAAGTTACTCAGACTTTTAATAATAACCTTATCAAAGATGTGGGCACTGCTGACAACAGGCAACTGAAAATATAGATAAACAAGCCCAACACACATATTAGGATGAACACTAGCAGATTTTCTATATGTAATAGACTGTATTACATAGATCATTTGCCTTCTTTAGTGAGACCAGAATGAGGACATATGAAGTCCTCAAGAAAGGCAATGAATGTTAGTAACACTGACAGGACTGGAGAAATTTCACAAAAGAGAACACTAAAGATTAAATACCAGGTTGGTTGGTAAAAGAAATTAACACAAGATAAGATGGAGAAAGTACAGCTTATAAAATAATGAATGACAGTCTGATGTTCTAGTTCCACTTTCCATAATAGAAAAGGTGCTGAACAACATCAATTGGCAAGAATTTTAATGACAACAAGAAATACATTTGTACACAATCAAGTTATGAAACTCACTGTTGTGGGATACTGTGCATTCTGACAGTCAAAGATTAGACATCAAGGTTTAGCAGAATTTGTGGTTTAGATTGTAACTGTTCTAACTAGGCCAGCAGCAACAGGCCCTATAAACCATTCTGGAGTGCAGCAGCACTTCAACCCAATCTGCTTTCCCATTCTAGTAGCTCTGTGTAAAGCCATTATGACCAGCTTATTAGCTGGGATTCACCTTCCCATCAGGCTGTTTCTGTTGGCTTTCTGGCTGCCGCTCATTGTTGGAGAGACAAATATTACTCTATTCTGGTACGGAAATTTAACATTATGATAAACTAATTATGCATACAAGTTTCCATCTCTTTAAGCAATTTTCCAGGCTGTTTCTACATTACAGTTATTTCTCCATGCAAGAAAATGAAACCAATCCCACAGAAACCTATTCTAGTAACCACATTTAAAAAGCTGAGAAATTTATTGCACTCCTCCAGCTTTTGCTTACAACTGAAGAAAGGGG